TACCAGTTTCTGTAACTGTTTCAATAACTGCTTTGCACTTATGCCAATTCCCAATTATGTCAATGTTTGCAAATTTGTTTGACGCACATATGCCAATTCGCACTTATGCCAGTTCACACTTATGCCAGTTTGCACTTATGCCAATGTTTGGAAATTCTTTTTGCGCACTTATACCCATTTGCACTTATGTCATTTGGCATTGTGTCTGTTTTTGTAACTGCTTCGCACATGTGCTAGTTTGCACTTATGCGAATTCGTACTTACGCCAGTTCGCACTTATGAAATTCACGGTTAATCACTCGTCCCATTATGGTAAAACGACTTAGGTAGAGCCATGCATGGGATTTATATTATGGATTGTAAGATAGGAGTAATATCATTATAAACTTAAACAGAGTATTTTAGGAATGCACTTTTAATTTACTAACCTCTTCATCATAGCTATCACAAGTTTTTGACAATTCTTACCACTAATATTTTGAACTCTTTGTTTCTAATAGAAAGAAATTATGGAAAAACTGATAATTCCTAATTAAGTAGTAAAAATTATATATTTTAAATAAAATTTTTAAAAAAGAAAAAATTTGTCAAATCAGTATTTAGCAATTTACAACTGCAGAGTTACTACAGAGTTACTAGATGAAACATTATCAAGTGCTGAGTCAAACTTATCAAATTCTATTAGGCTGTTCATTTCAGTTACTACTTCTTGCTCATTTATTATTATATTGCTCATGCTATTTTATATTAAGTTTTTTGGATCTTTTGGTTTTTATCTCATTTAGGAGACGCGACACACAATATTAAATCTAAACAAACTTACAATAATTAAATTTTACATAGTTTTAACAAAACTACGTGTATAAATAAATTTAAAATACATAAATTTAATAATTTAACAACTTTACTGGTCTAACCCTAAATCAGAGAAAAACTAATAGACAGTAAAATACTTAATTGTGGCAATGCTAATTTTTGGTATAGCCACAATAAATATTTTACTATATATTACAGTTTTTCTCAGATTTAGGGTTAGAGAAGAAAGATTGTTCCATAGATTTATAATTTTGATAATATTGAAATAATGGATTTCATGCAGGTGATTATTTAAAGTTAAAATTGGAACCTCATCATTTCGATGAAATCTTTTAAAATTGACAGTCGTGTTAGTATTTTAGAACAAACATTACATTATTATTTTTAACTAAAGACTTACTTGCTTGAGATAATGGAAATCTATCATATTTATCCTTTTTATTTTAAGATGATGAAAATTGATGTGTCTTAAAATGAATCTTTTGGTCATCACAATCAATATCATAATCACTTACTTTCTGGAAACAAATCATCATAATTTTTTCTTTCAGCCTTTTTAACTTTAGTAATTCCTAATAAAAACCACTGATATTATTAAATTTTATTTTTAGGGTTAAAGCAGAAAAACTCTGAAAATGTTGTTCCCTTTTCTCAAATCCAAATGAATTTTTTTGCGTTAAAAGCAGTTGATAATCAAGTAGAATTAAAAACTTAATCTAGTTTCTTTAGCAATCAAGTTTACTCAGCAATTAAGCTATTTAATCTAAATAATTTTTATAATCTAATTTTTATTTTAAACCTTTCAAAGCAATTAAAATTCGTTTTGAATTTCTTTTGTTTTTTAGTCTCCGCGAACGAGAGCGCAAAAAGCAAAATAATATAATTATTTTACGCCGCTTAACTGCAGATTTACCCAAGAAACTTTAATTATGTAAATAATGAAAATTCTAGTGTTTGTTCAGCAGTAATATTAAAAATGCTAATATAATTCTCAAAACTTACCATCGTAATCTTTTTATAATATAATTTTTACCTTTAGCAACAATTCTGTGAAAAAACAATATAAAAAAATTGCAGCGTGGTCTGCTGGTAAATATTTGCGTAAATAGAACATATATAAAAGGCATATATGTTTTATATTAAGCAAGTTAAAATATATCCGGCTAACGAGAAACAATTTTTCGGACCTTGCGCTAGTCAAATTTTTCGTCCAATCAAAATAGGGATCTGATCTCAGGAAATAGCCGCTTTTAAAAACTTCCGCAGCTGTCATTTTGACGTAAATAACTTTTGATTGGATAAAATGGAGATAACACATTATAATTTTAATTAATAAACAGGATTAAGGAGATAGAACAAAATGCAATGTCAGGTATAGTATGTTAATTTTTTTTTTTACTGATATTTTTGTAAAAAATAAATATTTTATCTATGAAAAGCAAAAAAATTAATCTAACTCAATTTTTTTGATTTGTGGAGTTAGCCTCCAAAACATTTTGCCTCCAAAAAAGAACTCCGGCTGCGGCCGCCAATAGAAAAGCCGAAGCCACTGGAGGCGGAAGAAAGAACATTTTGCCGCTAAAAATTGATCAGGAGGCAGCAGCCGTCTACTGCGGAAGAAAAGTGGAGGCAAGAAGATTTACGCCGTTTATCAACACTGGTTTCTCATATTGTTATTCCTGTTTGCGTTTTGCAGGTTGATTTTATGCCTAACCCTAGATTATTTTTTAAAATATCTGAAACAGATTTGTTAAGAACCATTACGGTTTCAGTGACCAGGGTTTTTATATTTTCTTGAAAGACGTTTTATAACCTCTTTTTATAAGCTTTTTTCCATATGGTTCCTCGAAATTTGCTAATCAAAGCTTCAAAGTGTTATTCAATTTATTTAAAAGGGTAGGTAGGTGTTCCTTTGGGATTGCTCTAATACGACTTTCTACTCTCCTCTTCAAATGAATACTCCTCCATGGCAGAGATGAGTCGCATTTTGGGGTATTGTTATAAACTTGATGTTATGTTGAATCGTGGCTTCAACCACTTCAAGAGAAAAATGTGAAGATTATCCCCAATCAACAATGTTGTTCCAGCTTTTGAAATAGTAACAGGCAAGTATATTAGGGGTGATGTCATAAGCAGTTCTAGGTGGTCCATCTTGAGTCAAATCCTGGTTAAAACCACGGGCAACAAAAACTCTCTGACAACATTGCCAGACAACATTTAACGGGTCGACTGCTTTGAAAGTTCTTGTTTTTTTCAACAAGATAGACATTATTAGAATGAGTCTCGAGACACTAGAGAATCGGTCTCGAGTCTAGATTTATTATCTGGTATCGGTGCAATACCTTACAGTATCGTTATCGAAATCAAACGATACTTGTATTAAAAGTATCGTTAATGTTAGTATCTTTTGGTATTGCTTGGTATCGCTGCGATACCTTACAGTATCGATATCGAGATCACGTAATACTGGTATGGAAAGTATTGTTTCTGTTGTTATCGGTGCAATACCTTATAGTGCTGCTATCGAGATCACGCGATACTGGTATCGAAAGTATCAGTTATGTTGGGATTGTATGGTCTTGGTGCGATACCTAACATTATCGGTTTCGAAATCACGCAATACTAGTACTTGTATATTATTCATAATCCGATAACTTTTAATACTAGTGTCAAAAGAAATTTTTTTTTCAAGTTGATTAAGGGTGTCCCAAGAAGTCCTTACGGTCTTATCACAGGGCACCGCGGAAGAGCCCAGCCGATGTCGCAACTTGGTCAGAGGCAGGGTTTGAACCGCAGATCTTACGTTTCTGAGGCAAGCACGCTACCACTGCGCCACGGCTGCCTATCGGTTATGTTGGTATTGTTTGGTACCGATAGTATCATTTGGTATTGAAACTCGGGTCATTATGAGAACTTGCATGTTATTTTTATAAAGTAAGTAAATTGAAATAGTAAATTCGTATAACTAATGAGATGTAGATAACTGACTCGTTTATTATAAAAGAAATTCTCTAAGATGGTTGTATGACATCATGTTTTTCATGATGTCATACAAACGGTATCTTTGATTTAATTCTTTCTGGTATCTTTGTTTTAATTTGAATAACTGTGTGGTTTCACTTCTGTATTTTAATTTCTCATATGTTATTGTTATTATAATTTTGTCTATCGCGATTAAAAGAAAAGAAAATATTTTTTTAACATTTATTTCTATTTTTAGTTTTTACAAATAATTAAATTGTTAAACAGTATGTGAGGGGCGAACAAAAGGGCAAAGAGTGGGGAGTGGATAGGGTATTTGGGGTAACTACCTAAGAATATACCTAATAAATAATATATTTATTATTACTATCTTATAACTTTTCTAAAATCATTCTAAATGATCATATGAAACAGTTGTTTTATTTTTAAAAACGCAAACCTTATTTTTTATATTTTTTTGGTTGGACTACCCCCCTAGGACAATGACCTAGATTTGCCCTGTTGTGTGTTTCTCACATCGTTATTCCAACTCTATTGAACTTTTATTCTATTCAGGCGAAAGGTTTATGTGCGGAATAAATCTTCGAGGAAATTTTTTTATATAATTTCAAGGAGTTTTTCATATAGTTCTCCAAAGTGATGCAATCGTTAATGAATATTCTAAACAAGTATTAGAAATGATTTTTTAAAGGTAATTGATTTCGTAATAGTCATTACAGTTATTTTAATTTAACTAATTGTGTGCTATCGCATCCATATTTTAATTTCTCATTTGGTATCGTGACTTTAAATAAATCTCTCGTGGTATCGTAATTCTCGCCTAGTCTTTTGTTCTGCGTACAGCATTCAACAACTAAACTTTAGTTTTAAATAATTAAACTTAACTATACTTTAGTTATTAAAGAAAACTAATCTAACACGTGCCCCATCCCTCTTAATTTTTTTTAAAGAACCTTTTTTTTTTTCAAGAAAATCTAGATATAGAGAACTTTTTTTAAACATTAACGGTTGTGCCCCTCCACTTTGAAACCCGTGTCGTCGGCCCTGTAACTTTCACTCGTTATGCTTTTTATAACATCTTTAATCTGAGATTATTTCAAGAAAAATTTAGGTAAGCTCTACTTATTAAGTATTGTTTATACTTTATCTCAAAAGGTAATTACCGGCAATCCTGAGATTAATTACCGGCAAAACTGTTACTATATATAATAACTTAACAATCAAACGCAAAAGTTTGATAGTTAAGTTATCAAGTTGTGACCGAGCGGATAAAGTTATGGCCAGCTCTAGGATCAAGTCTTTCAGAAGAAGTTAATTTAAATTTTTTTTTTTTTTTTTTGATTAAAGATGCAAGTTTTTTTTTTTACATTTTCACGTTATAACTATTATTTTTATTAACTATTAATATTTTAAAAAATTCAATTTCTTTGGTGGAGCCATAACTCATAATAATCGACTGATTTTTAGGGAGAACGCGCAAACACATTTTTTAGATGTAAAATTTACAGTAAATGCAAAAGCAAAAACAAGTGAGTTCAAAGCGTCCCGGCTCTTTGTTGTTTTTAATAAAAATAACAACTAAATCTCTGAAAAGCAATTGTACTTGTATTTAATTAACAAAAAAATTCAATAAGTCACATTTAACTTTTTTTCTCGATTCGAGACCATGCGATACTGTATAATTGTTTTTTTTATCGGTATCGTTTGGTATCATAGCAATACTGATAGTATCGACATTGGTACATAAGCGATACTACACGATGCGAGACCATGCTTCTCGGTATCAAGTGGTATCGAACCGATATTGATAATATCGACATAAGCATATAAGCGATATCACAAAATACGAGACCATTCTTATCGGTATCGACTTATATGATACCGATTATCTAGTCACTAGTTCCAAGGCCACAACGAACAATTATGGATTTGGACCCTGGATTATCTGTTATATTGGTCTCATCATAGTTGTAGATATTTTCTGGAAGTATATTCTCTTAACTCTTTGTTCAAATTATCAAAATATTTATTAAGAGTTTCTTCGTTTACAACGGCTCTGCTATTTTTTACATTATCAACAACCTTATTTGTTAAATGATGTTTCTTCATGAAGAACTGAATCCAATCTACCCTAGACATGTTACTTTTAGATCGAGCGTCATTTATTTTTACTTTATCACAATAAAACTTGACTAAACGTTTTATGTCGAACGAATAAAATGGTGCTCTCTAGTCATTCATACAAATAATTGTTTGGGCAAATAAATTTTCGGTTTTATAAGTATGAAAAACCGCTTTTATCAAGTATGAAAAACCGAAAATTTATGGTCTGTCCGCCATGCTTTTTTGGAACTTGATCCCTTGATTTACTTTTTATGTAATGTTCCTAATGGAATATTGTACGTTTTTGTAGCTTTCCTTATAGTTAATCCATGGTTTTTTACTTAAATTACAGCTGTTTCTAGGCGTTTTTTGCCTAACTTGTTTTATAACATCGACTGTCTTTCCTTTCTTTTGTAATTTCGAGGCATAGTTTCTAAAATTAACAAAGAAAAACAATTTCGTATTAAAAAAAATTAATTATAATGAGCTTATAATCGAATACAGGCAAGCCATACCTTAAATTATTGTTTTATTAAGACATTTACCTGAGCTAACTTTAATGACGTTTTGATGTACGGTTCTTAAGATATTTCTTGACAAATGAGTTAATTACCCGAACCACGTAATTGTTAATATGCGATGGAGAGAGGGTGGGAAAAGATAATTTTGAGGGCAGCCAAAAGTTATCTTTCACACATTATACTTAAGGTAAGTGAGTAAATAAATCTCAATTTTTGGCTTAATTTTATGTGCTGCTTTACCAATTAGTAAAACTAGGTGCACATCCCCCACCGTTAACTTTTCTGAAGGACCTTTTTTTTTCTTTTTTTTTTGTTGTTGTAGAAATTTCTAGATATAGAGGACTTTTTTTAGAAGTTGACGATTGTGCCATTTACTTTGAAACCCGTGTTGTCGGCCCTGACGAGTACTTTTATTGAAAATCGGCGAATTTAAATGTTTTGTTTATTTAAATAAAAAAAATTTTTATACCGAAATTTTGGTGCAAAAAAATTTAATTTCTCGTTATCAATATGCCTTTTGAAAGAATTTTTTACTGTTTATGAAATCTATAGGATTTATTTAAAACTGCTCAACTAACCCTACTCAACTCTACAATACTTTCACGTTTTGTATTGTATAACATTTATATATAGTATAACATTTATAAAACGATGTAGAACAACATTTTCACGTTTTGTTTTCATTTAACCATATTGTATAATATTTACGTTTAAATTTTTGATAATCTTTAGTATACAGAAACTTCTCTCATTATTAGCAGATGTAACAGAAAGAATTAAGTATATTTTGTAGAGTATAGACAAAATTAGAAGATATGGTGTAATGTGTTACGACTGCTTTTTCAATGTTTAAAAGCTACTGTACAATTCATATGAACATCTAAATGAATTTGCATTTTCCTCAGATAAATTTAACGAAACAAAACAACCGAAGTATGTAACTTAGTTACTAAAATCATGAAATCGTTCTTCAATTCGAGTTAAAAGTGTATCCACAAATATTTTCATATTTAAAGCGCGTAGTTGAATCATCAACTTTCATCTCGCCAAAGAACTTCTGTCATGCGTTTCTTTTCTTTTTTTAATTATAACTAACTGATGACAACAGTCAAATGCAGTAAAAAATATTTTTGTAATTGAAACTTATATAAATAGCATAACTTAATTTTTTAGGGGGTCACTAGTTGACCATCCTAGGGGATTAATAATATTCCTTGCTCTCGATGATGTTTTAAATCATTTTTAACATCTTCTTTGCTGTAGTTGTTGCTGGCCATCTTGTTGAGAGTGATAATTTGTATTTTTATAATCTTTTGCAAAAGTAATACTTTTAAGGCTATTTTTGCGGTAAAAAAAAAGGAATTGGAATTTTATATTTTCTTCCTAAAATCAGAAGAATGGATTCTGAACGCTCTATCAATGTTTCATAGATAAAACTTTAAGACGTCTATGACATCTACGAATCAGAATTTATTATCCAGGATAATGACAGTGCCATAATTAAAAAAAAGATCATTTGAGTATGGTTTAAGGACATGGAATCGGAAAGCTTTAAGAAGTAGCCAAAAAACGTCTGGGATTAGTGATTGAAAATAAAGGATATAATGACTAAATACTAAAAAATACTGAAAGTTATGTTTTTTGTACTTTTTTTTTTTTTTTTACTTTTTTGGTAAAACATTTTTTGCTTTACTTGAATGCTTTGGCGGTTTAAGGTGGTAGACTACTAAAAAAATTATTTTTGTATCTAACAATATTTTAATTGATTTTTTTCTTCAAATATTATAATTACATTTAAAAAAATTTAATTTTTTATTATTTTTTTTTTCCTCGTAATTTTTGGGCAAAAACAAGTGATTTTAGGCCTAAAATATGCTAAAATCTTGGCAAATATTTCTCAAAAAGTATAGTGTATTAAGTTCTAAAGTTTTTGCAACTTTATTCTTTTTATATAAATAAGCGTCCTGAGATAAAAAAAATTTTGCTGAAAATTTCTTTATTTTAAAGCATGTCAAGATTTTTCAATGCGCCTAATTAAAAATCAAAGTTTTGATATAATAAACCAAAAATTTGTTTTTTTAAAAATTTGTTTTTTTAATTTTTTTGTCTCAGGACATAATGCTTATTGCAATGAATCTTTGTAGAAAATTGGCAATCTTCGCCAGAAAATTAGAAGCATAAAGCAGAGAAAAATGCATATAAATTTTAAAATATTGAATATATAAACTTATAAAAACAGGTTAAAATTTGTTTATATACTGTTCCTCTTCATCATTGTATTTATAATCGAATCTTTTTTTAGCTTCTCAAAGATTTTTTCTTTGTTATTTAAACTTTTTTTAATTTCAATCCTTAACTAGCCGTTGCTATGAGCGTTGCTAGGGAAAACAAAATTACCCTGCTGAAATAAATTTCTTCTTTAAGTTCTAAATTTCTTTTTATCATATGAAGATCAATATATTTTTAGACTCTGCAACAGTTACTGTTTAAGATAATGCGTCTCTTGAAAAATCGATTTTTTCTAACTTTAGCAGTCTACCACCTTAATAAGTATGTTAATTTATTTGTTAAAGTTTGAAATAAGTATGTTAATTTAATTGTCGGTTTAATAAGTATGTTAATTTATTTGTTGAAGTTTGAAATATACTCCGTTAAACTTTACCATAGAATTTTCTTTAAAAAAAATTTCTTGTTTTTTTGGGAAAACAATATAAATACATGTTTTTTCGTGAATTATATATCAGCATATATAAAATATAATTTAAAGTGTCAAATATATAATGTTTATAATGCGGTTGTGGTGTGGTGGTAAAAGACTCGCTTCATAAGCAAGAGGTTCCGAGTTCGATCCCCACCACGTCCCTGGTAGTACCGCACTCAACTTGTTCCTCCGTGCAGCGACCTTGTTCGTCAAGGTTCGTGTTTCGGAGTTATAAAGTCGAGAGAGTGTTATGACCACTATTAAGTAGCCTCCTCGTCTGTAGTGGCCTTCTCGGCCTTGAGAAGGTAAATAACAATATATATATATATATATATATATATATATATATATATATATATATATATATATATATATATATATATATATATATACATTAAAAAATTACTTTTTAAATAAGAAGTTAATAAAAAAAACTCCCCAAGTAGCTTAATATGACTTTAAGCATTTTTCAATTTAAGTATTTTATATTTTCTTTTTTTTTGTTTAAAATAAATTTTGAACAATAAAATTAAAAAAAAAAAGAATCAGGAATATGCAATTTTTTTAAAACTTAAACTTTTAGCCATTTTTTTTTAAACTTATTTACATTTATTTCGCTGTTTAATAAATAGAATCAATATATATACAAAAAAATACATACATATCCATAGTAAAATTGTGCATCTTGTCACCAGGCACCGTTTTGCATATAAAATATAAAATGGAATGGATTTTTTAATGATCTTTATTAGATAAAGAATTAAACAGACAGGGGCTCGAAGAAGATAAGGATGATGATACGTCGTCGCAATCGTTTCATAGAGCCCCGTTTTAACTTTGAAATGGTATGGATTTTTTAATGATCTTTATTAGATAAAAAATTAAACAGACAGGGGCTCAATTTCGTAAAGAATTTCAAAAGCAAAACATATAGGTTATTTCACTTCAACTCCCAATTTAAAAAATATTTTTTGCAACAAGAAAACTAAACTACCACTAAACACAGACCCTGGCGTATACCAGCTAAAATGTTCATACGGTTCGATATACATTGGCGAAACTAAAAAGAAGGTGATATTAAGATGTATTGAACACAAAAAAAAAAACAGCCTAAAAGGAAAATGGTCCAGTTCGGGTGCAACTGAACATTCTAAAACATGCCGTGGTAAGTTTGATTGGTTGCACCCCAAAACATTATCTGTAGCCCCAGAATATCGAAGTTGGAAAATCAGAGAGTCACTCGAAATAAGCAAGGCTAGGGTTCAACAGGAGTTGAGAAATGGTGACGTGGTTCTTAATCGGGATGACGGTGATAACGTAACAACCAAAACCTGGGAGCCATTTTTTAATAAAATCTGCTGACGTCAGTTATTTGAAAAGTTTTTTCTGTATTATATTTTGGCTTTTTAATGTAATCTTTTTAACGGTTTGTTTTTACTATAACGATTTCGTAACTATTTTATTTATTAGACCTGATAACGCTGATTACAATAGATCAGCGAAATATCGAAATAATTGTATATGAAAGAAAAAATATATATATATTTAAAAAAAAGTTTATACGCAGCCGTATTTATTGAATTGTAACTATATATATATATATATATATATATATATATATATATATATATATATATATATATATATATATATATATATATATATATATATATATATATATATATATATATATATATATATATATATATATATATATATATATATATAAGAAGTATAGAAAGAGTATAATAAAAAGCCTGTTTTTTTAAGGATCCGGTCAACTAATGAAATAGAAATGTTGTAACGATGTTTATATAAGGACATATTTAAGAATATGTAACTACAATAGGAAAATAGTCTTAAAAGCATATTTTGTTATTATCTTTGAAAAATAATTTATAAAGTACGCAATATTAACTACTGGATTTGTTCGTTAATATGTAGTGTGTAAAGAACTTTATGAATGTATATTACAGACTGTAATTAGACTATTTAAAATAATAATATACAATTAAAAAAAAAAAAATTAAACTTAAATTATTGTTAAATAGCTAATAAAAAAAATAATAAATTTTTTATTTTATAAATTTACTTAAAAGAAAAATTATTAACTAAATGTTAAAATTATTACATATGGTCTTTAAAATTAAGCAACAAACAAGACAGTATCGCGGACGATAGTTACATTCTCTTAAAACATCCGTCAACATGGTAAGACAAATTTCAAATTTACAAAGATGGTTATCTGGTTTTATTTTTGTAATCATTATAACTGTGGCTACGTAGACCGCTATATATTCTAATACAATTTCTATTTATTAAATTTTGCAAAAATTGTGAATAGTTTAAAGTCAAGTTTTGAAGCTGCGTAGTTATTAACTTAAACATATACGAAGAAGTTATTAATTGAATTGAACTTTAGCTGAAGCAATCATTTAAAAATATTTAATTCTATCTTTTAATTTTTAGTCTCATCGTAAATTTGAGGCACCTCGTCATGGAAACCTTGGGTTTCTTCCAAGGAAACGAAGTAAAAAGCAACTTGCTAGGATGAAAACTTTCCCAAAAGATGACGAAACTAAGCCATGTCACTTGACTGGTTTTATCGGATTTAAAGCGGGTATGACTCACATAGTTCGTGAAGTAGATCGTGTAGGCTCAAAGGTTCACAAAAAAGAGGTTGTCGAAGCAGTTACAATTTTGGAAACACCTCCGATTGTTATAGTTGGAATTGTTGGTTATGTAGAAACACCTCGTGGTCTTCGCCAGTTAACAACTGTGTGGGCAGAACATCTTAGCGATGAGTGCAAACGTCGATTTTACAAGAATTGGTATGTTATATATATATATATATATATATATATATATATATATATATATATATATATATATATATATATATATATATATAGTTATAGTTATTATGTTATACAAATTTATATATTATAACATCCTTCCCAATAATATTACTTATTTATTAGTTGTATAGAATATTTAATATGATAGTTATATAATGTTCAATGCAAAATAATAGAGTGCTAAATTAAATGTTTATTAGTTACATAAAAACAGTTATTATATAATAAATTTTTGTTCAGTATTGGTTCTCCTCTCAGAGAATTCTGATGAGCTCCAATGTTTCCATTAAATAGGTATAAATCAAAGCATAAGGCTTTTACCAAATCAAGCAAAAAATGGACAGACGAGAATGGCAAGAAAAGCATTGAACGTGATCTTGAAAAAATGATTAAATACTGTAAAGTGATAAGAGTTTTAGTCCACACCCAACAAAGATTAGTTGGATTGAAGCAAAAAAAAGCTCATATCATGGAAATCCAAATAAATGGTGGTAAAATAGTTGATAAAGTCAACTGGGCTAAAAATCATCTGGAAAAGACAATAAGTGTTAGCAATGTTTTTGGACAAGATGAAATGATTGATGCTATTGGTATTACTAAGGGTCATGGATTTAAAGGTATTTTTTAAGTTTCATGCATAAAGTTTTAAGTTAATTCAATTTTAATTAACATTAACAATTAGTGTACTATTGTATTTTATTATAATTTGAGGAAAATTATGAAGTACATATTAGTTTAAAAGACAAATTTTTGTAACGTGTTTTACAATGTACAGTTATGTTTTTCAATATTATAAAACTGTTCAAAAATTGTTGATTGTATGGATATTTCCATTTTATGAAAACTAAATTATAAATAACTTTTTAGGAGTGACATACAGATGGGGTACAAAAAAACTCCCTCGAAAAACTCACAAAGGTTTACGAAAAGTTGCCTGTGTTGGTGCATGGCATCCAGCACGTATTGGTTTCACTGTTCCTCGTGCAGGTCAGTGTGGTTATCATCATCGTGTTGAAAGAAATAAAAAAATTTACAGAATCGGTCGTGGTATTCATACTAAAGACAACAAAGTTGTTAAGAATAATGCATCAACTGATTATGATCTCACTGAAAAAACTATTACACCAATGGTATGAAAAACTTTCGTTACAATTTTTTAAAATATATATTATTTTTTAATAATTAGTTTTCTGTTTGTATATTTTTTTATTTGTTACAATCCATTTAAATATTGTTTGTTTTTTTAAAGGGTGGTTTTCCTCATTATGGTGAGGTTACTGAAGATTTCCTTATGCTTAAAGGTGCTATACCTGGTCCCAAGAAGCGAGTTATTTCATTACGTAAAGTAAGTAAAAAACATAGTTTCAAAATTATATAATCTATTTTGTGTTCTTTTTAAAAAATTAAAAGTGATAATGATATAAAATAGTAAATTATAGTTTCTATTCAACTTTTTATAGTTTTTATTTACCATAATATGCAAATTTGGTTTTTTCTTTTAATAAAAACTATGCTTGAAAAAAATTTACCATTCTAAACTTTTTCTAGAACTTTCTGAACTTTGTCTTGTCTCGTTAAGTACTCTATACTTTATCTTAAAAAGCTTTTTGTAACATTTTAAATATATTTTATGTTTATCATGGAAATTTAAATATAATCATTATCAAGATCTTAACAAGTTTAAGTGTTAGTTTTGCCCTACATGACAGTAAGAAGAAGAATAACATTTAGTTTGATTTGATTTAGTTAATTATAATTCTTTATGTATATGGATTTTTTTAAATTTTACTTTTTACCATTGGGTTATCTTTTATGACATTTTAAATTTTCTTATTGTTATAAAGTTTTTAGTTGCTCAAAATTAGATATTAGTTGTTGCAATTTCTTCCATTAAAGTTTTTTTTTTTTTTTTTTTTTTTTTTTTTTTTTTACTATAAGCTACCTTGAATGTAAATTTTCATATATTTCAGCATTATATTTATTAGTTTATTCATAATTTCATTTAGTCTCTACTTGCACAAACTTCTCGAAAAGCCAATGAGAAAATAACCTTGAAATTTATCGACACATCTTCCAAATTTGGTCATGGTCGTTTCCAACATGATCAAGAAAAGAAAAGTTTTATGGGATTATTGAAGAAAGATAAACATGTTGATGTTGTTGAGGCCTAAAATAAATGTTTCTTTCAAGGAGCTGTTGTTTTTTTATTTAGTTCATATTTTCATTTTAACATTTATTAAGGGTTTCCTTTTTTTCAATATTGAGTTTCTTTCACGGAGCATCGAGTGACTAAATATTAGGTCATAATAATCAATAATCACGCTCTGCTAAGGGTGTTGTAATTTATAAATTGTGTTCGCAAATACTAGAGATTTAGGGGGAAAAAATGCCTATAATATTAAGTACGGCTTGTACTTTTGTGTTAACCCTGTTAAAATTTTAATTAATCCGGTGTCGCGATAAGTAGGTAAAATGACATGCGTTTGTTTACTGATACTTAAATCAAGCTAAATAAACAAATTTAAATGATGATAAACAAAATGATCAGTCAAGGCATTCTGGTTTTTGTTATTGTTGGTTATTGTTTTTGTTCCAGCATCGAATCCTAAACTAACAGTTATTTTTCTGACACGGTGTGTAATGTTTTTTTCTGGATATGTTCATATTCAATATTAGTGATGTTATATTTTTTCCAGCCCGAGTAAGAGGTTGTTTTTAAGACGGTGCGCTTGTGTCTACAATGCTCAGTCAAGACTTGAGTAAACCTACTATTGATTCCAAGCTTGATAAATCATTGCAGTGACCAAAACCCCAACGATATATTATATAACTAGATGTCTAACTTGCGGGATTTGAGTAGAAAAAAGTGAAGCTTGTTTTTGTTAATAACAATAGCCGCCATTTGAAAAAGAGCAAAAGATAAAGCCGAAGTGTAGAATCAAAGTTAAAATGCACGTCAAAAGTTTAAAAAAAAAAAATTAAAGATAATTCAAAAACACCTTTTAACAATTATAAAATACTTTAAAAAAATATTTATGAGCCTATGTTCATTAAAAAGTATTTTAATTCATAAAAATGCTTCAAAATAGAAGACGTTTTACTTTTCTATATCCCTTTTTAATCGAAAATAAATTAAGGAATCATAAATTATTATTTTACAAGTATTATAATAATATAAAAGTATCTGCTTAACACTTTTACGTAAATAGTACTTAAATTTAAAATACATTTACTTCATTATCAATATATTTACTTCATCAAAATATTTACTTCAATATATTTACTTCATCAAAAAAAAAGGTAAAAATATTTGTTTACAAATTTAATCCGCCATTTGTAAAAAGGGCAAAAAACGGCTTCACTTTTCGTAATGAAGTTAGATATCTAGTTATATAATATATCATTGCCAAAACCCAAACTGTACCAGAATCTTCTTTTCCGTCGGTAACTTTTAAGTCAATGCAGGTGAAGAAATTACTCAAATGTTGACCTGCTCTTATGAAATTTTAACATCTTGCTGCTTGATGTTTGGTTTACAGTTCTGACCAGTTTCTTTAATCCGTTGTTTAATAGTCCCGTAGTAAATTGTACTTTTACAAGAGCTAGAGTGGTCAACTTTGGAGCGCTTGATAGTGGCTGGGCACTACTTTGACCTGAAGCCAAAACATACATATTTTATCTTTATATTAAACTTATTTCAGAAAGTTTATATAAAACTTTCAAATTATTTGTTTTTTTAAGTGATTAGAAACTTGTCTCATTTTTTAAAAATTTCCTTTGAATATATATGTAAAAATTGTGAGAAACTAGTTTTTAGTTTAAACTCTGAAACTTTTTCTCGTTGCACAGTGGAACAGAATAGCTTTAAAACTGAACAAAAGTAATTTTTTTTGTTTGTTTTGGATATTTAAGTTAAGTAATTATTTTAAGGTCACTTGTTAGACTTAGGATAAGAAGTTTAGTCACGTGACTTTTTATTGTGGAAAAAAAACGTTTGTTTTTGAAAAATTTTGTCCAAAAAAATGCAAGAAACGATTTTAGGTAGGTATCGAAGAATGAAAACCCGACCATGAAAATTCCAAATATAAATAGATGTTTTGGTATTGTTTTTTTCAGAAAAGAATGTAGAACATTTATTTAAGTGAAGACGACATTTTACTTTTGAATTGAAAAAGTCATTTACTTTTAAATGATTCAAATTTATTTAAATATCAATAAATTTAAATATCTCATCAGTCTTCACATGAAAGTAGATTCTGCAACTATTTATTTGTAATGTGTATGAGTTTTTAAATTTTGGTAATGTGTATGAGTTTTTAAATTTTGGTAATGTGTATGAGTTTTTAAATTTTTTTCTTTTGGTTAATTAAGGTGGGTTTTTCATTTTATATTTGGTGATTTGTAGAACTTCCCCCGTTTTATTTACATAATTATGTAAGTATAACGGGGGAACTTATATAAGTAAGCGCAGTCGTAACTATGTGCCGATTTCTTTGTTAGACAATTTTTTCATGTGGTAAAAAATGCTTGTAAAAGATTTTAATTTTTATAAATATATAGAAATTTTTATTATTTTGTAACTTACACTGTAAGTTACATATTTAGCATTGTATATGTTTTTTAAAAAGTACTTGTATTGTTTTGATAAATAAACAACTAAACTGTTATTAAATTTTAAGAATGTGATTGATTTCAGTTATTGTAGAGCGTTAAAACTGATTTAAATTTATATATTTGGTTGACTTCTGGAAAATTGTATATTTATTTAGATAAAATGCTTAATAAAGAAATTTCTAATTGGTATTTAACATGGAATCCGTCTGATTCAATTGCTGAAGGAGCTTTTAATGTCCCTGTTACTAACAAAGCATCAGAACGTGACTTTGCCATTTTGGATTTAATGGTATGCATAAAATCAAATGCAAGTATTCAAACTTTCCAGGCTTTGACAATGTGGTCTCAAAATCAAACATTAGAATGGCTAAATAGTAAAACAGATGAAGAAAGAAAAGAGTTACTTAATTGTTCAAGAACCAAAGTACCAATGATGAAAAACAAGTATGATGAAAGAAAAGAAGCTCTCAAAAATGACAAAGCTATGCGTCTTATAGCAAAGCAAGAAGAAAAAAATTGCAGCTGGTAATAACTTAATAGATTTAAATATAAGTGCATGAATTTCATTGGAAGAAGCGGGAAAAAAAGTTTGTAATATGCAAAAATCATTAAAATTAAAAGTACTCCTTGCTCAACTTAATTTTTTATCGCATCATCTTAGGTGTGGAATGTGACAAAAAACTTTTTTGTAAAACAAAGGTAGAAGAAATTAATAGAAGAAATTTAACTTGGCAGGAATTATATGAAAATCTTATTATTGTCATTAAAGCAAATTTAATTCCAAATAAACAATCCTTAGGTAATTTGAGTAATAATTTAAAGCTTCGTGTATTACGTGATGGAGCTGTTAAAAGCAAAAAAAAAGAAAAACTGATGAAAAAAATTCAGGATACGAGACTAAAAAAATTAATAGAGCAACAAAAAAAAACATTCCCTACCAAAATTTATTAACAATTCATCCGATTTTGTTGGTGTTACTATTCAACATCGTGTTAAGGAAGAAAATTCTCTCGAAGTATTTTGGGAACGTGCACAAGTAGTACAAATTGAACAAATAAATGGAAAACGAACCACATACTACGTTAAGTATGATAACGAACCTGATAAACTATGGTCATTTCCCTTATTAATTGATTTTGAGAAAAGTGATCTTATTCTTTGTAGCTAGAATTATAAGGTAATATTGTTAAATATAATTTTGAGTTATGTTATAGTTTAAAGTTATTTCCTTTATTAGTAAAATAAATAAAAATATGTTCGGTTAATCTATTTTTATGTCATTTGAGTACAGTCATTTTAATCTTTTTCAACGGTATGAATCATATTTGATGTGTTTATGTACCCATTTTGTTTAATTAAAGAGAATTTTCTTATTATTTATCAATATTTTTCATCTTTATGAGTTATGCTTAACTACACTTATTAAAGGTATTCAAAAAAAAAAAAAAAAAAAAACGAGGTCAGCGACTTTTTGTCAACCTCAAACACATTAAGGTTGTCAGTTAGGTCAGCATTGCCAAATTCCAACCCTGATTCCGAGGGCTGCAAACATTAAAACTTTCTGTAACCGACAAATTTCTATACGTTAAAAATGAGTTAAATTTCCCTAGATAAAATGATACATTTAAGGCATTCTCTGCAAAATTAGATAATCCATAATAGTAATCCTTTTACTAATAGTAAATATAGTAATACTATATCTGCTAATTTAGGTAGAGCAATTCAACAATTTAGAAGCATTTCAATGAATTTTTCATATATTTGAATATTAACAGAGGTGCGGAAACTAAGTAATTATTTAGAATTAAAACAAGAGACTCGACCCATTTAAATGAAACTTAAGATGTTTTAAGAAGTTATTAACAGAAAAAATCGTTTACTGAAATATCTTCTTCTTTTTTTAATGTTAAAATAACTTATACATAATATTTTATGTTATTTAGCGCGGTCGTTTAGATATTAGCATTTTTAGGTACGCATGCGTAAGAAAATACGCCGTGGATAGCCTACCGAAAGCCGGTAGCGGAAAAATAAAAATTATCCTACCGAAAGTTTTTTTTTTTTTATTGGTTGAGAATATCACATGTCAAAATAAACAATATTTGTTATACCGTAAAATGAAGAAAATTTAACATATTATTTTTAAAAAACAAAAACGTAAAAAATGTAAAAAATTAAGTAGGATTTTCTATTAAATAGATAGAAATGACTGCCACCTCATACCAAAACCTTCATTCAATGCATGTACACTCCACAGCGCCTATCCCTATATTAGTAAACGTATGTACACTTCACTGCGCCTATCCCTAAGCTAATAAATGTATGTACACTTTACTGCGCCTATCCCTAAATTAGTAAATGCATGTACATTCCTCGGTGCCTATACCTAAATCAGTCAGTGTATGAACACTCCATTTCGTTTATTAATGCATTGTGCTATTCCCAGCGTATATCCCTAAATAATTTATTCAATTAATAAGCGTAATAAAACCTAAAAAATATAAGAAAAACAATCAAATTGTAAAATATGTTCCTCGAACCCAGAACGCCTGCTTGCCGTGTTACAAATATAACCGAG